GTTGCATTGATAGGTGGTCTAGCACGAAGAGTCAGTTACCACTCCATTGCTAAATAAAGGTTATCTCAACACTTCCCCCTGTCTATGACGGACAACCGTGTTTGGTAAGATTTAAAAGAGAGAGGGTCGATCATAAATGATCGTTGTAGAGGCTGCTAGTGTTTGTACTCTAGCCAAAGAAGTGGATGTCCATTATATGGCGCCTTTGGGGTTAATTTTTTAATTTGTGCAGCCAGGTAGGCTCAACCTGACTCGAGATCAAAGATCAGTTTGTCCAGACAGCTCGAGTACAGGGATGTTAATTCAATATTTTGATCCATAATAGATGCTCTTTTCCACCTTGCTTGAATGATCAAGTCACATTTTACTCTAGATATCGTATTTGACTTTTTTGAGTCACTCCTCTATAGGTAGGTTGCAATATATTCGTTGGGATTATTTAGAAGCAAACTTGCATGCTCTCCGCCCCCCACAGATCCTACCCAGTCGACACTGGCACAACTTCACAATTTGGATGTTTCTGCCTTTCGCTCCCCTCACAGGGTTACCCACGCATACCGTAAGATTATGCGTTATTTTGACCATGTTTTTTTTTCCCTTTTGTGTTGCAGACCCACCGTGGCGTGCCTACCCCTCGTGAAATGTTTGACTTTCGCTTACTCATCTGGCATTCTCATCTCTGGCTCGAGGCCTTGTCGTGGCGACCCCAACTTGTTAAACTAAGAGTTAATTATTCGAGTGGTTTTCCTTTCCAACAACTATTTTTTATACAACTTTCACTCCCGAATCATTTTTGTATTTTTTCGCTTTGCTTTACTAAATATATAGTTTGTGTTGGAGAAATGAGGGAATCGGTAAAAATAATTAAACAGGCTTTAAACGCAATTCATGGAGGACCATATAAGAATCTCGAAGCGCGTAAATTAATAAAAACATATATATATAATGATATGATTTGAACTAACATTTATTGTTGGGTTTATGACACAACTCGAATTTACCAAAAGTATATGTTTCGTGAACTATTATATTTTATGATTTATTGAATTCTTCAATTGATTACTTTTATTATTTTATGTTATAAAGTTTTTGCAGTATGTCGGCTTTATTATCCTTAATGCATTGAGCATCGTCTCCTCTACCAAAAAAACTCAACGAGGTCGATCGCTTCAAGAACGGATCGTTGTTGTTTTTTTGTGCACAAGGCGCTATCACAATGCATTTTTTTTTTCATTCAAATCGAAGAGTGGTGGATAACGGAGACCTAAAATTTCACTGTTTTTTTAATGTTATTTATAAGAAAATCCAAAGGTTTTTTTAACCAAAAATTGCATCATTTCATAGAGTGCACACTATATTAACCAGCCACAAAATTAAAGGGTGAAATGATGAGGTCAAAATGCACTTGAATGAAAATTTGCATTGAATTTTTTTTTTAACATTTTCAACGTTTTTTTGAAATGGTCACCACATACAGGTCCAAGGGACAAAAACATTGCATAACATTAAAAAATGGTCACAAAATACAATTCCAACAGTAAAAAAAACACAAATAATTATTAAAAAAAAATTGTAAAAGAAAACTTGATTGCAACAAAGAAAACAGTTTACCCCATTAACCACTGGTGCAATCGGACAATAGAGATTGAAGATCACCATGTTGAAGGTTAATCATTGGAAAACCGGTTTCCGGTTTCTTTCGTCTGGCCAAAGTCGTGACCAACACTCACAAACCTTGAAGAAAACTAGTCGATCAACCACCATTCATTATGGGTGAGTAAGTATATCATCAAGGTAACTGTGTGCTTTGTGATAAAGGACGAGGTCATAGGCATATTTAAGTATTCCAAAGGGATAGTGGTCTCCTTCTTCTTATAATAACTGCACGGGAGAACCCTTTATTCACGAGAAAGTTCGCTTTGTTTTTTTGTTTGATATATGACGAGGAAGAATCTCGTCTGCTTTGTATTTCTTGTGTTTAAGTGCTTAAGGCGATTAACAAACTTTTGAAGAGAGACACACTCTCTCATTAGGGAAGGGGTCTCTTTAAACAAAGTAGTTTGTTAAAGGTCAAACTGTTATTTCATCCGGATTTCTTTTGTTTTCAAATTATGCACACCGATCATTACAAATTCATTTACGATAACGAATGTAAGGCGTGTTTTTTTAATCAACGACTTCCATCAACGACATTCATTAGATTGAAAGGTTAGTTCGGTCTTCGTTATGATGATGAGTTGATACTTGTATATATCTGCATTATCTTTGTGCTCCATTTTTTTTTTTTTTTTTAACCAAGTCCCATTAGCAAAAGTTTTGAAATCGGATATTATATTATGAAAGTTTTAGACGCAAGATATACTCTTTGAGGTGGTTACATGAACGTAGATACATTCAAGACCGCTCTTTTTCCGTGCCCAATGGGATGTTAATCGTCAAACCTTAAATTGACGGCCCAATGATCTCTCCATCAGTCCGTAAGTGTAGTCAGTACTCATAACGTTCGGGTAGCGAAGCTTACACTTGTTCAATAGTTTGCCGTGAATTTCTTCCCAGTGCCTTTCTGCTCGAATTCAAAAAGTTTCCAACTCTCTTTTAAAGGTGCATAAATCTACTAAACATCGCAATATAGGCAGATCTTGCATCTGATTTCAATTGTTCTCCATTTCGTGGGCAATGACCATTTCACGTCCTACGGCGTTTATAGATCAACGGGTCGCACTAAGGTTGCGTTATCCATTGAGAAGTCTCCCCATAACCAAGTTACTATGATGTCTCCTACAATAGGTATTGCACTAACTAAACTTGTAATTACAGTATTTCCCCCAAAGCTCATTTGTCCCCATGGCAACACACACACACACACACACACATATATACATATATATATATATATATATATATATATATTTATATATATATATGTGTGTTTACATATATAAATCCAATTTTTTAAAGGATGACATATTCCTGTGTAAATTTGAAATCGCTGCTTGATTACCATGTTGTTTCCCCGATTATCCTTTCTCAAAAATACATCTGAATGATTTTAATCCCTTAACCCTTATCGCATTATCGTGTGTTGATAAAAAAGTTTGTCCCGTCCAGATTGTGACATGGGCCAAATTCTTTCGTGTACATGATACCAACTCTCTCTTGATGGCTTGAAGATATGACCTTCATCAGATCAAAACGTTAGTTCGGTCTTCGTTATGATGATGAGTTCATACTTGTACATCTCCGCATTACCCCTATGCTCCATTTATTATTTTTTTAAAACACAAAACACAAAGCCCCATCTATTATGGGGGGCGACAGACCGATTGCTCATCACAGGCAAGTAGAACCATTGATTGAATTTTACGAAGTGGTCTTATTGGTTTAATCTTGTACTTAATATTGCACAAGGATTGAAAATTTGGTTTTATTTCGATTGTGGTTGTAATTGTGTGTTTGTTTAGATTTGTATTATCCTTCATGTTTGTTCAATAACATATATCGTCAATGAGTTTTCCTTAGCCAAATAGTTTTATGTCCGACGAATCCTTAGAGTTTCACAACTCAATTTTGTTTTGAGTGTGAGCATGGTTGGGTGTTCGTCGAGATTTATATCATCCCTCATACCAATTCAGTAGCGTATGAGACAGTTTCCTATTTTCGTCAATATCTTTTCCTAATCGGAATAGATTTGTGTCCAAAGAGTCTTTGGCGCATCACAACCCAATGTACTAGTTTGGGTTAGACCCGGGTGCTTTTTTTTTTTTTTTTTTTTTTTTTTTTTCTTCCTCYTTTTTTTTTTTTTTTTTTTTTTTTTTTTTTTTTTTTTTTTTTTTTTTTTTTTTTTTTGCATCCTCCTTCTTTAATTATCATATTTTAATATGTTCCCAACAAACTGGAGCATACCACTTTTTTGTTTCAAGTTCTCACCACGGGCCTAGTCCTGTCCGAGTAGGGTGTTTTTTTGAAAACCCATAGGAGACCTGTGTTTTATCACCTTCGCACTGATGGGGTTCACCTTATCGTTACTCTTACCTGCAATTTTCTCAAAAGGTTTAGACCGTTTAGTTATTGATTATCCAATCCCTTGTTCATGTCCACATGCTGTCCTCCAATCGTATATGTACGTGTGTGGGACATACCCTTTTCACTCCAGGGAGTCAAAGGGAAGCCTTGATCCTGAGAGATATCAGCCATTGCTATAATCACCGCTCTCTGGCTCATGTAAAACACATTTGCAGGGCCCACCCCAGGTATTTTCTTTTTTTCATTTTCATGTCTTCGGCCTCCAACCCTGCGTAGGACCCCAGAAAAATGCGGTATAGGTTATATTCCCCCGAAAAATGCGGTATAGGTTACATTCCCAAAAAATGGGACTACAGCTTGGGCAAAAAAAGGCGGGCCCTTTTGGGAAGCAAAAGAAACGTCTGCAGGGTCATCCAATAGGGGCATACTGACAAGGTTAACTGGTACGAATAGGGGCATAATGGAAACATTGCAGGACCAAGCGACGCCAGGGTTATTTTCCAACCTTGGAACCGTCGTCAGAGGCCCATGACTGGTTAGTCCGTTGCTACAGGCGCATAGCGCACATACTGGGCTAGATCCCACTGGCAAAGAGGGTTGGAATAAGTGTCTGAATCAGGACGTGTTCGGGACAGAGATCCAGAAAAGCAGATCAATCACAATCTTTTGCACCTCTCCACAAACATGTCCAGATTCAGACACTTATTCCAATCCTCTTTGCCAGTGGGATCTCGCCCAGAGTTATCTTTGAGGGGCATAAGAAAACTTTCGCCTTCATCGATTTATGCGTGTTATCCTTGCAAAATGGTCTGTCCCGCATGACGGACTGCTGGTGTGAGCAACGGGCAAGAGCTCAAATCATCGTCCTCCTATCTCCGAAAAAAGGCACTGCCGCAGAGTCTTGTTCTCCTCCCTTCCTTCCCTACCCCTCAGGGGTTCAGGCCGAGCGAGCATCGACACTAACACGAACAATCAGCGGAAGAGAGAAAGAGAAGAGGGGCAAAGGAAGAAGAGAGAATGATGAAGAAAGAAAAGGAAGGAAGAAGACGAAAAAAGGGTACTGCTACCAAGTAGTAATATTGGAGAAGGGCAATTTATCATGCTCGCCCTCTTTTTCACGGGGACGAGGACGTAGAAAGGCGTACGAACTGCAGCCAAATGGTCGTTCCCCTTTCTCCTATGGTTCAGGCCTTTTCTGAATTTCGGGTTTTGCAGTTCGCTGCGTCCTCTCCTCCTCTGGTACTGGCTTCCTATCCGCCGGCCACGTGTCCTTAGTCTCCAGTTGTTACCAGTGTTGGAGGAGGAGCACAGTAGATCACGGTCTACGCGGCGGCTGACGGGTCCCGCCATCACCACAGCAGGTCGGCATCATCTAATTAGAAGCAGGAGGAGGAGGAAGAGAAGTTCGGAGCTCATCATCTCTTCATCGTTATCAGCAGCAATGAGGAAGCACGAGTAGGAGGAGGAGCAGAGGAGCTTTGGAATCATCATCACCACCATCATCAACAACGTGAAAAAGGAGGAGGAAGAGGAGGAGGAGGAAGAGGAGGAGGAGGAAGAGGAGGAGGAGGAGGAAGAGGAGGAGGAGGAGGAGGAAGAGGAGGACGTGGTTTCGAACCCTTCATGAGCATTCATCGCCGTCGTCATCTAATTAATCTTTGAGGGCTGAATTAGAGTTGTGAAGGAAGGCGAACGATGCCGGGTCGGTACGCGAAGAAATTGGCGTGCGCGATCCTAAAGGACCAGTTTGGCGGCCTCGTGGAAGTAATCTCTCTCTCTCTCTCTCTCTCTCTCTCTCTCTCTCTCTCTCTCTCTCTCTCTCTCTCTCTCTCTCTCACACACACACACACACACACACACACTTTCTCTCCCTTCCCCTCTTTCCTGACTGCACTTCCTCCCAGCATATCTCATGTCTCTCTCTCTCTCTCTCTCTCTCTCTCTCTCTCTCTCTCTCTCTCTCTCTCCCCCTGTCTCTCGCTTTCCTGTTTTGCGTGATAGTTTGACATGCTGATTAGTGAGGAGGCTGCTTTTGGCGGAACTGAGGAGCCTATTTTGAATTAACCTCGATCTCGCCCTCTTCTCGTCTGTCATCCTCGCCTCTTCGCTGTATTGCTCCGAGGCAGAAACTTTCGTGACGTTTGTTGATTCTTCCTTGAACGATGTGTCTGTCATCAAATGCAGGATCCAAACCCATTCCTATGCAGATTTAGTCCAATCCTCTCCAATCCCATCCAATCGCATCTCATCCAATCCAATCCCATCTTATCCAATCCAGTCCAATCCAATCCAATCCAATCCAATCCAATCCAATCCAATCCAATCCCATCCCATCTTATCCAATTCAATCTCATCCAATCCATTCCAACCCATCTTTATCCAATCCAATCTCGTCCAATCCCATCTTATCCCACCCAATCCTGCCTATTGATTGCTAGGCTGCTGCTATAACTAAAGGTGCGATCGAAACCCCTCCCATCCAATCCAATTCAATTCGATCCTTTCCAACCCGTCAATTGCTATCCAATCCAATCCAATCCAATGGCAACCCAATGCAGTCCCATTCGACGCAACTCCGTGGAGGTCCATTCAATCCAGATTCAGGTGCATCCAATCCGGGTCAGACCCCAATCTACCCCGATCCAGCCGAACCCTATCCTGTGCAAATTCATTCCCATCAAATCCATTCCTCTCCGAGCGAATGCGATCCCAACTGCATGTCTACTCCTCTCTCATCGAAATCCCCACCCAATGCAATCGAGCGGTGTTAACCAATCGTCCTCTGCTCTCCTCCCTGTTTTCTCTCGGAGGAGGCGGGAGCATCGCGGAAATGCTTGAGCTGGCGACATGCACTAAGCTGGCAGAGGGTAGATGAGGACTTGGCATCGAAGTGACCGGTGGTGGACACAAGCTTTTGCTTGCTTGGCGGAGATGAAATTCCATGAGAATTCACACCCCCCCGTTCCAACCCCGCGCCGGCCCCGTTCCTTTCCCGAAACGAGGAGCTTTTTTTTTTTTTTTTTTTTTTTTTTTTTTTTTTTGTTCCCCCGCAGGGGAGGAGGGCTGCGCCACACTCTGCTGCAGTGCAATACAGAGGCAACGCTGGAGGGGTCGAGCAGGCAAGCCTACCCATATGACCCCTCCGTAGTGGCCCAATGGACCACGGATCAGATATTAAACTGATCAGAACAGATACTACACTTGATCTTAGCCAAAAGGCCGAGAAAGGTATACGAGGAGCATTTTGGAAAACCGGACCAAAGCGGAATCTTGTGTTGATGTGTTTGAGGATGTAGGGAAACTATGATGGTATTAGGAAGAGGGGAAATAACGCCGTGTGTTTTTCAATAAAGAATGAAATAGACTAAAAATCACGCGGTCATCACTGCCTCAATCTCTGGCATATGGATAATAATAAACAACTAAACACGTTAAGAATTATTTAAGTAGTACGTACGTAGTTAATGTGGCATCAACCAATTAACGGGTCTAATTCTGTGGCGTCCTCGTGGCGGCCATATGTGCCCTCGCGTCTGCGTCTGCGTGCGTGTGTGTGTGTGTGTGTGTGTGTGCGCGCGCGGCGTCGTGTGTGCGAGCGAGCGAGAGAGAGAGAGAGAGAGAGAGAGAGAGAGAGAGAGAGAGAGAGAGAGAGAGAGAGAGAGAGATTTAACAATAGTACTCGGGAAAAAGACAAAGAAGAGGTACAAATTAAGTCGGTTTAGAGAAACTCTTTGAATACTGAATTTAAAAACAACTAAGGAAGCAGGGAAATAATGGAGGAGAGGAGACATAGTCACATGCAGTTCCTGTTATTCAGAACCCCAACACAGAACACGCCGACCCTCTTTGTCGTGCGTCTGCGCTCGTCAGCGCTTGTGACTGTTGTTGAGGTGTGTGGTTGTCTTGCGTGTGTGTGTGTGTGTGTGTGTGTGTGTGTGTGTTGTCGTGTTCGTTATACACAACTCCACACTCACAAAAAAAAAAGCATGACTGTGCCAGACTGTCTCGTGTGTGTGTATGTTGTAATGTTTGCTATACACAACTCCACAAAAGAAAGCATGAGTGTGCCATACTGTTTCGTCGGACCTTCACCTACTCACGAGGAGGTTGAACCCCGACAGTCTGCCCATGAGGCATTTGACTGATGGATAAAGACTCACCACGTCGCCCTCTGTGTGTGTGTGTGTGTGTTTCACGACCGACAAGAGCGTATGTCGGAGTCTAATTCTAAAAGGAGTGCTATCCTTTGCGGAGCTTGGGCGGGAAACCGGTTTAAGGCCAGATGAGCTGCGAAACTGCCTTCTGGTTCTTGTTCAACATAACTGCGTGCAGGCCTTCCGTAATGAAGCCGATGGTAAGTTGTTGTCATGCCTTTGCCTTTGCCTTTGCCTTTGTGTTTGCCGACCGACCGGTAATTGCCTCCTTTCCTTGACAAGAACGAAATACGCCCCCGACCCCTTCGCTCTTGACGGCTCATGAGTTCAAAGCAAATCAAAAGCAATATCGGCTGCCTTCTCCCATGCTGATGTCCTATTCCCGTCCCCCCTTTTCCGTGAATATCATCTAAGGGGCGGGGCCAAGGTAGAGTTAGGGTCTGATCCCACACTACTTACCGTAAGTAAAAAGTGGTGTTTTGCCGGATCCCACATGATTCCCCAGACGAAGGCCGCTGCACAAGCTTCGGAGGTAAGTAGAAACGTTTGAAGTCGTGGCGGGCAGGGAATGACCATCGCCGAAAAAGCTTGAGGGGATTTGGAAGAGAACCGGGCCTGTACCCTGCAGCAAAAAAGAAGGGTTTTTTTATTTTTATTTTTTGCATTTTGTTGTGTCCGTTTCATTGGGCGGGGGCCGCAGTGTCGGTTCAAGTGGACGATTTTCGTGTCTGTAAAAGAACCCGCCCAACCAAAAGCGCCGAAACCCACATGAAACCAACGGACGATATGGGAAGGTGGGGTCCCTGCTTTCTTTTATGGGTCGCCCAGAGCGGGCCCAGCTTTTTAGTTCTGTAAGTAGTGTGGGATCAGACCCTTAGGGGCTGATCCGACTTCTCTTCTTTTACTCGCTGTCCCCTCCTCGCCGCTGGCCCTTGATCCTCCACCTCAAGCTCCACTTACCCCAAAGGACCCAGAGCTTCCCCGCTGCCCACGCTTGCGGCACCTAATAGAAAAAGGGCTTTATCAAGAGCCACTACCTCTGGGGGACAAGGTTTTGGGGATCCCTATAAGAAAGAAAAATGGTAGGTGGGAAGTGGGCCTCTCCGCGGCGGAGGAAAATGACTATTCTCCCTGTAGGGTGGCACTCACACTACATGGCTGGAATTTGCAGCAGGACCAGGAAGGGCGGTGCAGTTTCAAGCTTAAGGAGGCAAAATATTTTATTACTACGCAATATGAAGCGGGGCCAAAGGCAATGATACGAGTGGGGTCAGGCTCCTGCAGAATTGCGGATAATGATCTGTATGTTCTTTTGACGAAAAAAAGGAGGCAGATCTGACCTTGGTAACACACAATGCTTTATTAGAACTGCAACATCTCAAAATCAAACCCAGCCATATCTGGCCTGATAGGGAGATAATCACCGCCCTGTGCTCCATAGTCCGGATGAACATAATCAACGACGGGGGCGCATGGGACCAGTACAAGTGGCACTATCTCTAGGGCAGGAAACAGGGAAAACGTTCTGGACACTAGGAAAATGGAATGGATCGAAGCACTATACGGCCGCAACAAGGCCTCGCACAGCACGCTTCGTAATGCAGATCTAGACCTCAGATCCATTAACGTGAACGACCTGGCCAAACTTTGCCCAGACAAATCCCAGACCATACGGGACCTTATTCGCGGGGTCGAGGGACGAAGTTGGCTAGACGTGGTCTGTGTACAAGAAACACGCCTGACTGATTCCCCTGATCATAACAAAGCACACAGGGCGGTTTGGCCATATCAAGCCTACAGGGCACATGCACCGCGGTCAGCAAGTGCGGGGACGGCAATATGGATTCCCCTGGACTCCCACCTGGAGATCTTACATCACGAAAGGGACGTGGAGGAGGGCCGATGGGTTTCAGTATTGGGGGCATTAGAATTAGAAGTTGTCTGTATTTTTTGCATCTACGCCCCCAACGCTGTAGAGGAACGCGGGAATTTTTTTCAAAAGATTCAAACTAAAATGCCGCAAGGCATTCCCATCATTCTCGCTGGGGCCCTTAATGCAGCCCCTGACCGTTGGCTAGATCGCTGGCAGGTCTCCCCTTCCACCAGGCATCAGGTAGAGGAAGACAAAGGCATGCTTAACCGCTTGTGCAGTTCTCTTTCCCTTTTTGATACTTCCCGCCGCTTCTTTCCTACAGAACGGACATTTACATGTATCCGTAACAATGACCCATCCAGGCTCTCTAAATCAAGGATCGACCTGATCCTTATCTCAGAAGACCTGGCGGCCAGTTTGACACTCGCAGCAATCCAGCTCTCCTGCAGATGGAAGAGGAGAAAAACCCCGGGTTGGATGGATTGCCGAAAGAGTTTTGGGAGACAATGTGGGATTGCTTGAGCCCTGATGTAATGGAGTATTAAAATGAAGTCTGGCGTACAGGGGAAATGGGGGAATTGGTAGGCCAAGAAGTGTTGTCTCTTCTATACAAAAAAGGGGACAAATTCAATATCCGAAACTATAGGCCCATTACCCTCCTGACGGTTACCTATAAAATGTTGGCCAAGGCGCTGGCCAGGATGATCCCGGTCCTAGAGGGGGTGATCCACCCATCACAGACTGGCTTTATGCAACATACGAAAATCCAAGAAAATATCTTACTGGTTAACGAGGTGTTGCAATTAACCCGACAAACAAAGCAAAATGCAACCCTCGTTTTCATCGATTTTGAAAAAGCCTACGATCATGTGGATTGACTTTTTCTTGATAAGAGTCTGAAAAAAATGAATTTCGGGCCAGTCTTCTGCAGGTGGGTACGCATCCTTCATCACAATGTCCCTACAAGGGTGCAAATAAACGGGACCTTGGCTCCTCCGATTGACCTGGAACGGTCGGTCCACCACAGCGACCCTATAGCGCCCTTTCTCTTTCTCATTATCGTGGAGGCCCTATTGGCCAGCCTTCGAGCGAATAAGAACATTAAGAAAATCCAGATTACAAGAATCCCTGAGGAAGCCGTCCCGGTATGCTCGCTGTTCGCAAATGATCTCACCATCATAATAGACGCTACCCAGGAGAACATGATTGAAATCCAAAATTTAATGAATAAATTTGCTCAGGCGTCTGACATGGTGGTGAACTAGGGGAGCAAAACATAAGGATGGTGGATTCACTATCAAGGGGGCCGTCCACCGGACTCCCCAAACATTCACTGGCTTCCCTTGCAGGCCCCCGTTTGTTTTTTGGGGGTGTCTCTAACTGCGCAGGGCCGCCCTTACCTAAATGACGACTGGATTTCGGGACCAGCATTAGCTAAGATGGCCGATTGGCGCAACAAGCACACCTCCCTCTTTGGTCGAGCGCTGGTCATAAACAGTGTGGTGTTCGCTGTGTTGTGGTATAAATCGGTGCTCTGGCCTTTGAGTAAGACTGCCTTCCAATTGCTTAGGTCTAAGGCAACAACCTTCCTCTGGAGAGGAGATGATGAGCGAGCAAATGTCATCAGTAGGGCGGCATGGGAGTCTGTTTTACAACCAAAACGGACTGGAGGCTTGGGTATCATTGATCCCGTGATACAAATCCAGACCCTCCGTCTTAAATGGCTAAAGTTTTTTATCTTTTCCTTGGACAGCCCTTGGCGAACCCTCGCCCTTGAACATATTGCCCGATTGGCTCCACCGGTTCCACCAGAGGTTAACCCGCTCACATGGCTAGAGGATCGCTATTGGTCAATCCCGCGCAAGATCCACGACCAAACAACGGATAACTTTTGGCCTTCAGTATTAAAATGTTGGCGCAGGCTCCCCCCCCCTGAGAAACATGCACCGACGCGGTGGGAGGGTTTTTTGGGAACCGGTGGATTACCCCCTGTCATGGGCTGATCTTAAGCAACTCTGCTGCCCCCTGGAAGGGATGGGTGAGGAACGGGACACTCCATGTTGGGCACCTGTGGGACCAGGAGAGGAAAGATTGGAAAACAACAGCCTAGCTTCAAGACATCCTCCACTATTGTCATCATATAGAGAGGCAACTTGAAACAATCATTGAAACACTCCCTCTCGAATGGTATAGGGTGCTTAGTCATGGCCCCACTTTGGAGGAAGGGGACTGGGTCACCATACTAGGGGACAAGGAAAGAATAGGCTGGATCCATATGATGCGAAAAATTGACGTGTTGGTGGAATATGACGCCATTGGACCAAGGGGGAAGCTTCTTGGCTCTCACAACCTCTTTGAGCGGCGAGGAAAAAACAAGATGTTCCGGGTACGGGTGTTACAGGAGGGACAAGACCTCACAGTCTTCTCCCCCTTGACACCTATAAACGAGCTGCCCATTGACCCTGAAGAATGACAATGGCAGACAGCCCGGGGAACAGCAACGGTGACCAGAAAAAAGTCCACCTTAACACCATATCTGTTAAATCCATATATAGGATGCTTAGACCCAAGAGAGTGCTGAGGGACCAAATCAACGACAGATGGGCTAAACACATGACAGTGGATCAGTCTCTCCTCAAACCAATCAAATGGTTCAATAGAAGCAAAGCGAGATCGACAAAAATCACGTCGTTACAGTGGCAGATCGCTCATTGCTGCTTGCCAACAAACGTGTGGTTGATTGACCATACACATCTGGAACAAAAAGGCAAAGCGCTCCCGTGGTGTCACCGTTGTTTGTTCGCCTTCCCAAGGCCAAAAAGAAACGAAACTATTGAGCATATCTTTATGCAATGTCCGGTGGCCCTATTGACGTGGCGGTGGTGGGACTACATTTGGAGGAAAACGGTACCGAACACCCCTTGGCCATGGTCTTGGCAAGCCATATTGACAGGACACTGCCCATCACTGGAAAGCGCCCCTACCTACGTCTGTAACCTGTGCAGCTTGGGTAGATGATCTGTCCTATGGGCGGTCTGGTGGCAGTGCTGCCTTTTAGTTTTGGAGGGAGTTAAAATTGAGGGTCTTGAGTTAACAGGACAAATAAGGGAGCTGGTACAATTGGAGCTGGGGCGTAGCTGGAGGGATCTCAAGCCACAATTAAACATTTATTAGTCAGACCGGGATATTAAGAGGGCAATTACCGGTTTTGGTAGGGAGTGGCTGGGGGGGACCGGGGCGGATGGATGGCTCGAATTGAGTGGACAGGGGATCAGACTGCCATAACAGAACAAGAAATCTCGAGAGACTACAGACTTGTTTTCAACT